GCAGCACAAAGGCATGGGGGCTGGCCCAGGCCTCCCCAGTCTTAGAGCTGAAGATGCAAAGGGGCTCCAAGATAAGCATCAACAGGGATGGAGGAAAGAGGGTGAGGGGGCCAGGATAGCTCTGGAGTACTGCTTTCCTGGGTCAGTTTGGTGTCAGTGCAGAAAGAAAGTCCCAGTGCCCTTGGGCCATGGGGTCTCTATGGAGTCTCCATGGGAGATAGGAATGGAAATTGCACTACAGGTCCCTGGCAGGAAAACTGCTGACTTTTCTGATTGATGGTCTATCTATAGTGCTATCCAGTCCAGGAGGCTGCACTCAATTCATTTTCCAATCATACCAATAGCTCTTGGGCATACTCCCTGTGTTTCCAGTACCACTTTGGTTCTGGTGAATGAGTAGAACAAAACCCTTAAGGCATACTTGATTCTAACAGAGTATGTTAATTGGCTTTCCATTGCAGTGACAAAATATCTGAGATAATCAACTTTTTAGGAGGAAAGTTTTATTTTGGCTCAGTTTCATGGTCACTTGGCCCTGTTGCTTTGGCCTTGTGGTAGCACAGTACAACATAGAGGAAGTATATGGTAGAGAAAGCATGTTCACCTCATAGCAGCCAGAAAACAAAGAAAGAGAAAGAGGTAGAGCCAGGATTCTAAAATCCCCTCCAAGAGCATGTCCCCAGGGACCTAATTTCCTTCCACTAGCCCCACCTCCTCAAGGTTTCACAGCCTCCCAATAGCATCACAGATTGGAGACCAAGTCTTTATACATGGACCTTTGGAGATTTTCAAGATCCAAATCATAACACGGAGAATGAAAATAAAATTGATAAATGGATTTATCATGCCAGATGATGATAAATACTATGAAGAAACATACAGCAGTGTTAGGGGATGCAACAGGACTTTGGAGACTCCAGAACTTGGTAGCAACTTCCAAAAATGTTCTGGGAGTTGTTTCAAGGCAACACTGATACAGTCAAAGAAGTGTTGTTCAAACCGTAGTCTGCAAACCATTTGAGAGTCATGAAATCCGTTGGCAGGCTCTTAACCAGCATTTTTTTAAACTAACTAGAATAGAAAGAGAAATATCAATGTGCATCACATGTAGAAAGGGTGCCACCTATTTCCTGAAACTTTTGCTTTAGTTCTCTGTGTGCATGTGTGTGTGTGTGTGTGTGTGTATGTGTGTGTGTTGTGTGTGTGAGAGAGAGAGAGAGACTGTTGGTTATAATGGACATAATTTTTAAAATTATGGGTCACAGCATAAAACACTTGAAGCCACAGTTCTCAAAAAAAAATTTTTTTAAATGTTGAGCTGTATTTGCTCTTTAACCTATCACTGAGATGAGGCACGCAAGCCATGTCTAAGTTAACCCCTGGTTTCTCCAGCCCATGCACATTTGAGAATTAAGAACACAGTTTTGTGAAGTCATCCACATGCAGTGGTGACTACAGCTTCTCCTTCTCAGACTGCATTCTTCAGTCTATTATTCAGACTATAATATTATTATGTTGCCATAACAAAGAACACAGACTGGGCAGCTTGAACAACAATTTATTTTCTCTATTCTGGAGGCTGAAAGACCTAGATCAAGGTGTTAGTATATTTCTTTTGTTTTGTTTTCTAAACTCTTTCTCCTTGGCTTGCAGATAGCCACCTGCTCCCTGTGTCCTCTGTGTCCTCACAGGGCCTTTCTTCCTCTGTGCACTCATCCCTGGTCTTCTTTGTGTGTCCAAATGTTCTCTTCTACAAGAACTCTGGTCAGAATGGTTTAGGAGCCACACATAGCCCCATTTCAACTTCAACACTTTGTGTGTGTGTGTGTGTGTGTGTGTGTGTGTGTGTGTGTTTTACTGGGTACTGAGCCACTGAGCATTCTACCACTGAGCTCCATCCCTATCTCCTTTAATTTCAGTCTGACCTCAAAATTGTGATCCTCCTATGTCAGCCTTCCAGTCACTGAGATTATAAGGCTTGAGCCTCTGCATCTGGATCATCACTTCTTTAAAGCTCCTGTCTCCAAATACAATCACATTCTAAGGTACTAGGGATTATGGCTCCATATATAAGTTTGGGGGGACACAATTCATCCCATAATACAGATAAAACTTTGGCCAAGCATGGCTCCTTAACTCACCAGAAATGTAGCATTGCTGACCATCAAGTGCCCATTTATTTCTGGCCATGCCTCACTGCTTTCTTTCTTCCTAGAAATGCAAAACCATCACCCTTACCTCTCAGTCTATGTACTTTGTTTAGTGTAGACTCCAGCCCTGGCTTCTAGGGCAGCCATGAGATTCAAGCCCAGCTAATCAGAGTATGGCATTTCCCTGTGTGGTGATTGGTTTAGCATGAGCACCTAACTCTATCAGAACCAATGAGGTGAGCCCAGGATTTCTAAGGCCTTTTTAAAGAGAGCCCATCCCCCTTTTGTGCTAGGCTGGAGCCTGGAGGATAGAATTGGGAAGCCACTGGAGATAAAACTGACATGGAGATACATCCCAGAAACAAGAAGTTCTGAAGACATTATTTGAGTTTTCACAGCCTATAAGCCCTAAACATGGTAAATACCCCATGTAAGTGTTATAGAGCGGGAGGTTTGTCAAAAGGGCAGGGGGTAGGTTAGGAAAGGACCTGGACCTGGACCTTTCAGCTCTGCACACCAATAAAAAAAAAATGACACATTTTATTCAAGCCATTCTGAATTCAATTGCTACTTGCAATCAAGAGAGCACTGACTAATCTGTGCTGGCCAAGGGTATGGGCAAGATGGTCAAAAGGTCTCAGAGGGTAGAGAGAAGAAATCAGTCTATTATTCATGGGGGCAGGAAAGCTGTGCATTTTAGGTCAACCAGGAAGAGGGTTACAATTGTGATAAATATGCATACACTAGTGGGGAAAGCATATGAGGTCCATGCATGTACCATTTCTTGGGATCTCAAAGATTTAAAAAGTCATTTTGAGGATTTCTGGGGCAGAAAGGTAGGGGTGTTAAACCTCTTAATTTCTTTCTTTTGAGCAGTGGACTTCCTCCTTCAACAGCCATTGTGTCATCTCTAGAGCATCTTTCTCCAAGTTGAGTATTCCCCAGTAGTACCCAGCTATTGTCACATAACAGTGAGCATCCTTAGAGATAAAGTCCAGCATGCTGGCTGGGAGGCCACCAGCTGTTACAGTTTGAATTGTAAAGGTTCCCCCCCCCCCCCCCCGCAAAGGCCCATATACTAAAGGCTTGGTCACCAGCCTGTGGCACTATCAGGAGGTGGTGGAACTTACTTTAGGATACTGGGCCAAGTAGAAGGAAGTTAGTCATTGGAGGCATGTCCTTGAAGGTGATATTGGAACTCTGTCCCCTTCCTGTCTCACTCTTTGCCTCCTGGCCAGCATGAAATGAACAGATATACTCTGCCACAGACTCTTGCTATGATGTACAGTGCTGTCACAGACCCAAAGCAACAGGAACAAGAGCCTATGGACTGAAACCTCTGAAACCATGAGCTCAAATAAACCTTTCCTCCTATAAGTCTATTATCTTGGGTATTTTATAACAATGATAGAAAGTTGGCTAAATACCAGGGAAGACACCAGTGGAAACTTTACCTCCTTGACACTTTCTTCTCTGTTCCTAGTAATGCATTTGGAGATGGATTCCTTATTTGGACCCCATATCATCCTGCTGAGCCACTTGCTAGTTCCCTCTTGAGGTCTGCGGTTAAGCCTCTTCCATATTTTGAACATGGGTGAGGTGCATCGGGCACCAAAAGCTATACTAAATTGCTCTCTATAAAAGCTTACCTTGTCGGTCCCCCCATCCTGCTTAGCATCTCCATCTTGAATCCTACTTAAGTTTATTACCATCATCCTTCCCTAGTTTCAGGCATCTGCAAATTTGAAAAACCAGTCTCCTCTGTTAACTCCCTGAGTAATCTAATAGAAGACCATCACAAGCAAGTTTGATCGATTACACAATTCTGCTGCCCTGGCAAAGGCTTTACCAACAATATTTGATCCACTCTTTGAGTAGCAGTACATCCCAGCAGAATCAGTACTGGCATTTCAGTATGACACACCTGTTCCCAAATTTAGACTTTAACATTTACTAGCCACATGAATCACAGATTATTTTTCTAGAAAATGTGAGTGTTGATATCAACCTTGAAATGTTGCTATGAGAGTTAGGTGAGTTAACACTAGGTCAGTGGCAAGGTCAGCATGATCTCTTAATAAAGGTTGGTTATTATTACTGATGATGATAATAGGAACTCAATAAATACAAAAGTTTTTAGTTTTGAGGAGTACTATGGTTTTTGTGTTATAAGTGTCCCCCAAGGGACACTCTGTTATAAAAGTCTTGGTCTCATGATTAGTATTATTGAGATGTGGTAGAACACTTGGGAGGTGCAACCTAGTGGGAGATTCTACAGTGATTAGGGTAATTCCCTTAGAGACATCATGTCACTATCCCTATCTCTATTTCTTTTTTTCTTTCTCTCTTTCCTTCTCTTTCTCTCTCTTTCTTCCTATCTGGCAATGTAAGCTTTTTAACATACACACTCCTTTATAATGGGCTACTACACACCAACCTCACTAGAGATCAAACCAAGGGGGTAATTTAATCTTGGACTTTGAATTCACAAAACTGTGAAGTAAATAAACTCTTTATAAGTAGGCTGCTTCAGTTATTTTATTATAGTAATGCAGAGCTGACTGATACAAGGAGGGAACTATCAGGCTAGAACAACATTTCAATGCATAAATTTGATTTGTTTATCTTTGTATCTCCAAGAGCCTAAGAAATAGCACTCATTGAATGCTTAATGAATGGACATATGGATGAAGTGAATGGATGAATAGATGGATGTAACTGACCCCAATTTCAGTGGTAGATACTAACAACACTTCTCAAAAGCAGAGTCTCCCCATTCCTACAGTCCTACCCACCCCATTATAATATCTCTAGTGATCCCACCCAAAGGTCCTAGGTGTCCACTCTTACCTCCTTAGGGTAATTGCCAAACTCAGCCTGCAAGGCGAGGACCCCCAGCTGTAGCAGTGTCTCATCGTTGCAGTGCAGCCTCTCCTCAAGGATATCTTTACGAAGCTGCAGGTAAAACTGATGCCTTGTCAGGCTGTCCCTAGCAAAGAAATGCAGGAATAAAGGAGGCTGGAATGCTGAGGCAAGAACACTGCACCAGAGGGCTTCGCAGTCTGAGAGGTAGGAAAAGAAGGGAAGACAGGGTACAACCCAATAGAACCCAGAGGACAAGCCAGGAAGGCCAGTGTGGTCTCCTTCATCCACACCATGTCCCCTGCCCCTGGTGAGGGCTGCTCTGTGCCCAGGCATTTCACACAACACCTACTGATTTCCCCCCTCATCCTATCATATTAGAGTCCAATCAAGAGAAGATTAACCACCATAACTGTTGTCATTTATATGTAATTTACAGTTCCCAAAACACTTGCCTACCCACTACCTGTAATGTCAGGGGATGGGTGGGCATAAGCTCCTTAAGGAACCAAGGGACAAGTTGCAGCACTCACTGTAGCAGCCCACAGTGGCTGACAAAGAACTTTATCCTCAGAAAGAGTGTGAAGGTGTCCATGGAGGTCTTCAGGAGCTGCTCTCTCCAGCCTTCAGGGGCTATTTTGCACAATCTTGTTCCATTGTTCAGGAAAAAGAACTCTTTGCCTAAGATGGAAATAGAATTTGGAGGGGAAAGCAGTAGGGGATGCCCCACCTCTCTGTTAGAGTCTGTAAACAAGTCAAGATGGCGCCTAGCATTTTGCAGAGGGAGTGGTTTGTGAAGTAATGCCAAGGAGCCATTAAGTGTGGAGATTCCTTATTGGTTGACTGCTGTATCTAGTTTATGTTAATTAAGATAAGCTGTGTGGAATGTATATATACCCCTCCGGTCCTACAATAAAGGGCTTCCACTCCTGCTGTATCAATGTACACAAGTTGCTCGTCACCCCCCAGCTATTTTGCTGCAGCCGGACTGCGGCACCTCTCAGATTCACAGCCCTGAACCCTACACAAAGTCAGATGTGAGCTATTAGTGTAGGGGAGAGCAGGACTGAAGTCCCCTCATACCTGGTACCAGGGGACTTTTGTTGGAACCAAGAGGGGCTAAGACTAAGAGGTAAAGAAGAAAGGATCAAGGAAGAAAAACTCAGTACCAAGAGGAAAAACTATGATTATAGTCAGCCCTCCATATCCACTGGTTCTGCATCCACAGGTTCAACTGATCATAGATCAATTTTTAAAAAAAAATTCATAAGTACTGTACATATACATTTTTGTCATTGTTTACTAAATAATACAATATAACATCTATTAAGACAGTATTTACAGTGCATTCATTTTTATAAGTAATGTAGCAATGATTTAAAATATGTAGGAAGATGTGTGCAGGTTATATGCAAATACTATTTTATATAAGTACCAGAAGATTTGGATGTTTGAGAGGATCCTGGAACTCATCCCATAGGGACAACAATATTTATGTTAGAGAGATGTCCCTCAATATCTGTTTTTCAGCTACTATCTTATATAAATAAGATCATAAAACAATAGAAAGAGTATTATTAAGTTCCTGCCATGTGCCAGTCACAGGCATCTTATGAACTAAATGTTTGTGACCTTCTAGAAGTCATATGTGAAGCCCTAACCTTCAAAGCCATGGTGTTTGTAAGGTGAGACCTTAAGGAGGCAATTAGGTTTATTTGAGGTCTTGAGGATGGGGCCCCATGATGGGATTATTGTCCTTTTAAGAAGGGGGAGAGCTAGCACTCTTGCTCACTCTTATTCTACCCCCGACTCCCCCCAATAAAAAAAAAAAATTTACTCTACAAGCCAGGAAGCCAGTCCTCACCAGGAACCAAATCAACTGGCACCCTGATCTTGAATTTGCCAGCCTCCAGAACTAAAGAAATAAATGTTGTTTAAACCACCTGGTCTAGCAAGTGTACTCATATTTGTCCTTTGACTTTAAAAACTCCAGACATTAATTCCTGCTGAGTTTGTCCTTTAGCCCCTCTGGAAAGGAGGTTGGATCAGTCCAAGTCAATGAAGGTGACACCCCCACCCCTCTGCTGTCTTCACAGGTGAACCCCACCCTGCCTGGGTGCTCTTGGCCACTCCCTGGGGACTCCTGTGGGTCAGTACCCACCCTGTACCCAAACAGTTCCCTCTTCTCTATCCTCCACTCCCTGAGCCTAGGGTGCACATAGCAGCTTGCCTAGGTGGGAATCCTGCCTAGAGTTAGAAGGCAGAGTTTTTAAATGAGTATCCTCCCTTTTTCCTAGGGCATGTACATGATGGAGGGTAGGGCTGGTGTCCAGGTAGTTTTAGTGGCCTTCCCCACTTAATGTCCACCCCTCCACCCTTGCTGCTGAGTCTGACTCTCCACACCCTTCTCTTAGGGTTATTTTCCCCTAGGAATGGGTGAGTTCCCAGTACAGTCTATTTGAAAAATTCCCCCAAGGTGGTTATATCAAATTCCAGAGGTGGCTATTTTTCTGTGATTTTCCCATGAGGCTTCTTGCTAAGCTGTACTGGGAACTGTCCACTTGGGAAGGGCTCAGGGGCAGCCACCTGATTGAGAGGGATAAGTAGAGGATACATCCTGAGGTTCTATTCACAGAGTTTTTATTTAGATCACACATTATAAATCAATAAAAATGCATTGTTTCCTGAAGATGCTTTTATTCTTACTTTGCAAGAGTGAGCATCCATTGATTATGATCACATCAATGCATATTATAACTGTTCTTTTTATTTGTAAAAGGGATCTTGGGAAGGGCAGATGAGAGCGACAAGGAGGCAATGACACTCCTGCCAGCCCCAATGTAGCACAATGAATAATAAAAAGCTTTCCTATTGGGGCAAAAGAACAGAGGAATATTGAGATTATTACACTTAAGAAGTGTGGGCTGGAACCAGCACTGAAAGTTCATAAAATCAAACTCAACCTCCTTCTACTAACCAGCCACACAGTGGGTAAAGAACTTCAACTGGAATATTTGCAGTAAAGGAAAAGTCCCTTAATGGAAAGGCAGAGAAAGGAAGGAAATAAAGAACCCTTCCCTCACTCAGATCTTTAAATGGATTCTTAACTTAGGCTCCTGGGGTCAGGGTATTTAGTTCTATCAGATAAAATAGATATTTTTAACATTTGCTTGTCTAAGATCATGCACTGAGATTGATCAACCGGATCTGGCAAGCTCCACACACCTACCACACCCTACATTTGTTATTTTGTGATAGTCTGCACACACTTGACACTTTTTTCACACACATACACTTGAAGCCATCACCAGCTAACCAATATCTAGGAGCTTAAGGATCCAGATGCCTGCAGTGCCAAGGACTCCCCAGGGAACACCCACCTTTCAGGTAAGCCAAGCCAAAGTAGGTGATCTCCCCAAGATTGATGAAGGACATGACAGCATTGAAGACAGCTCCCACTGTGGACTCGATATCACATTTCACCTCCAGACACTGCCCGCTCAGCAAGACCACGCAGAGGTCCCTGAGAGCCAAGTAGGATTTCCCTTTTTTGGTCTAAAAACAATAGTATCAACTGTCACAATAAGCATGAGACATTGCCTTTAACCTGTGTTTGTTACTATGCTGAGCACTTTACATGCATCATCTCATTTAATTATTAAACAACCCTAAGACACAAATATGATTATGATTCATATTTAGCAGAAGAGAAATGATGGCTCATCTGAGATGGTAAGGGACTTGCGCAAGGTTGTAAAGTTAGCAAGAGACAGAACCTAGACTCAGATGTGAGCTCTCTGCCAGGCTCTGCAGGGGCCAGGAAGACTGGGAGGCAGGTCTGACCCATGTCTTTCCCCTGCAGAAATCCTGCCTACCCTTGGGCTCTGCTTGTTGTCAGGACTGACTAGTGAATCACACACCCTCCAGGTGTTCCCCAACTTGACATTGTCCCCCTAGGGTCCTGCCAAGCACAGGTTAATGAAATAAACTGCAGAGAAAATTTGGACAGGTGCAGATCCAAAACAAGATGTGGCTAGAGCAAAGGGACTGTAGAAACCAGTCAGCAGAGCTGCAGATACATACCAGAGTTTGCCTTCTGCTTTGTCTGCCTCCTTGGATTATTGCCAGGCTCATCTCCTACCACAGCCCTGTCTAATCACCATCACCCAGGTGAAGCCTCCCAGGCAGTTCGGCATTCCACACCCCCATGGGCTACTCTGCCTGACTTTGCACACACTGCATGTGGGGTTGGGGGAGCAGAATGCTCTTCCCCACACCACAAATTCCTATAAGTCTGCCATGTCTGGCTCAGGACTCCTCCTTGTCTGTGTCCTTCTCTAAGGACTAGGGTTGAGGATCCACGCATCCCCACCTCCACTCCTGTCTCAAAGCCTAGATCAGGGCCTACTCAGACCTCTCCTGGGAAGTTCTCCTTAGAGAACAGTTAACAGACACTGGTATATAGTGTTAGTACTCTAGGGGCCATGCCTGCAGTCACACCCTGACCTGCAGGACTCTACAGGGGGCCATGTTCCTGTTAGGTGTCCTGAGACTGGGAAGTGTCGCACACTTGCATCTGCCTTCTGCCTGGACTGTTCTTCCCCAAAAGCCCTCTTGCTTCTCTCCGTCCCCTTTCTCTCAGAGCCACCTCCCTATGTAAAAGAGCACTTCTCTCCCTCCTCCCGGCCCCACCATCTCCCACTCTCTTGCATCCTTATTGGTCTTTTCCTTTCCTGTTGTTTTAAACACAGATCACTACCTGGCATTCTTTTATGTGTATGTGTACATTTGCCTACCTTTGCCTCCCTCTGCTAGAATTTAAGCTTCCACAGCAGAGATGGGACCTAGAGCAGTGTCTGGCATGTGCTAGATGCTTCTTTACAAATACTCTGGCTAAATGAGAAGATGAAGGCTGAATTGAGACCAGAAGGACTGAGCTCCAAATCATAGGAGGTTCATCTCAAAGGGGAAGGAGATGTGCTGAAGGATGAGGAGCTGTGGTGCCATTAGCATGGCTCTGGTGGGTCTAGAGGACACTGAGCACCACCAGGACAACATGCAACAGTCAGAGTGCAGTCATCTCCCAGACTTGCCTGGCTGGGCAATTTTCTTCCCACCTCATGCTGCCCCGTGCAAACCAGTAATTACCACAACTGATCCAGGTAGATGTAGGGTCACTGGGGCCTCTCCAGCCAGTAGTAGGAACTCCGGCCTGGAAAACTGGGGAAAATATTCAAAGTCACTTACAGTGAAAAAAAGAGGATGAATTTCCCCTATATAATCACCTTTCCCTGCCTCTCCCAGCCTTCTAACCCCCTGAGCCCCAAGGAAATAGGTTTCAGCATTATGGAGCTGACTTGAGCTGAGGCCCCAGCTGGGCTGGCCACCTTAATGTGGAACCTTACAGGCAGGTATAGAATATTGGCAACGTTCTGGTCTTAAGTTGATTACAGGGATGCCTACATCATTAAATGTTCACAAATTCATAAAGCATTACATAAAATTTCATGGGTATTGAATGCATAAAGCACATTTATACATTATGTGCAATAAACCAATTTTTTTATTTTTATTGTTTTTTAAATTATATGATGAATACACAACAGTGAATCTCAGTATCAAGTACATACACAAGAAATTAATTTAAAAATAACTGTGGGTAAATGGCAGAAAGATGGATAGAGGGAAGAGAACAGGGGGTAGTGAATGGGAAGGGGAAGAAGAGGTACTGGGATCTGAACTAAAACAATTTTTTAATAAAACAAAACTACCTTGATTTTTAGATTAGGGCAGAGATTTTTCCAGTCTGAATGTTGAATGAACAGGGTCCATAAGCATCTCTCATTCTCAGTTTCACAATATTTCATGTTTATGTCACACTTGTGACTGAGAAATGCTTTAATCCTCATTGTTCTTTAGACTCAGTTGCCATCCCTTCAGGTGCATGCTCTTAACCCATTTTATAGAGGAGGAAATTGAGGCTTCAAAAGTCTAATTAACTGGTGGAGTCATATAACCAGCAACTGGCAGCTTCTAACATGTCCCCAAGAATACTCAGCAGGACTCCTGTCTCAAGAGGTCAAAATTCCAGCCATGGAATGGTCTGTGTCCTGAAAGTTCTCAGTGGATGTGCCTTCAGTGACTAATCAGGAAAAAATAAAGCTTAAAAAAAATAGCATGCTGTGTTCAGCTACTGCTTTCCACATGAGTGGCTGAAAACTTCCTGGCATTTCAAGGATTCCAGAAACCCCTCTTTGACTACCACCTCCCCTGTACCCATGAAGACCAAAGAACGGCCTTGGGGACTGCAGAGGGTCAGATGGGGCAAGTGGGCCACACAAGAGGAGGGATATCTGGAGGCTATTTGCTCTGCTCATCTCTAATTTGTTAAGAGGCTTTAAGCAAATCTCCCTGTGACAGACAGACAAATGCCTTCTGAGGACATCTAGGTCTGATGTCCCCAAAGGGTCCCAGATGGTGAGACAGAAGATCAGGCAAAGACAACCTCCTCACTGAATAGCCTACCCAGAGGGGGCTCTTCATAGGTCCAGGAAGCAATAATCTCATGGTCACTGTAGCCTTGCATGGTTGTAGGATAGTTTTGCAGTTAATGGCAGTATTGTATATACTATAAACACACTGGTGTTATAACAGGGATTTAGAGTGGCTGCCTTTGCCAAAAGCAGTGACTCTTTTTCTCAGGCTTGCAGATGGCCCATCAATAACTAAAAGCAGGATAAAGCTTGGCATCTCTGCCTTTGTTTTATCTCTCTCTCTCTTTTGGGGGGTGGGGGTGGTTACTGGGGATTTAACTCAGGGGCACTCCACCACTGAGCCACACCCCCAGCCCTATTTTGTATTTTATTTAGAGTCAGGGTCTCAATGAGTTGCTTAGCACCTCACTTTTTCTGAGGCTGGCTTTGAACTCGAGATCCTCCTGCTTCAGCCTCCCACGCCACTGGGATTACAAGCATGCACCACCATTCCTGGCTCTCTCTTTTATTACCTTAATCTTTGGGTCAGCTCCCTGCTCAGTTCTGCATGCAGGTATGCTAATCACTTAAAGAGTATTCATGTAAAAATTATTAAACAAGATTTATGAGCCCTAAACTTACCTAACCAATCTCATTCCCCTTCAGGACTGAGGCAAGATGTGCAGCATCCTGCTTAAAACCCTTGGGGTGGTGCCTAAAATTCTTCAGTCATTGTCCTATACCTGCCAGGATTTTAGGGAGGCAGGCACATCACCTCATGATGAGATTACTTCCTTTAAGCAGGAGCAATCATCTCATGGGAAATTTGCTGCCCCCTCCCAGGCTCACAGATCTGATGAATAAACATCCTGAGCAACAATTGGAATTTTTCTCCTCAAGTAATTAAAGACTTCTCTGGAGCCACCTTGCAGAACCAAAGCTAAGAGAATGATCAGCCAGACCACAGTTTGCCCATTACTGCTTAATATGCATACTTCTTGCTCTCTGCCTCAAAACTTCCTCTATTTAAACCTAAAGCACCTGAAGATAGTACCCTGAAAACAAGGTTGAGACGCTGGATCTCACTTTGCCTTCCCAATATGGCCATATTGACTAAAGTTCTTTTCCTGCTTTTTATCATCACCTTTTCTGTTTGATTTTTGGGTTGAGTGGCCAGTCCTGGCTTGTTGGGACCCCTACAATCAGGCATCTGACCTAGGACTTTAGATTTTATTAAAAAAAAAAAAAGTGGCTATGGCCAGCCCCAGGGCTGTTTCCAGAAGACACTTTTGGTCAGAAAGTACATTCTGGGCCCACCCCAGATCCCACCTCTCAGTGCAGAATTGGCAACCTCATCCCTCAACAGAGCTACAGTGCTAGGATATATCCATCTTTTCTGTTAGCCTGGCCTCCAAGACTTGGACAAGTGGGCCTGGCCACTCTCTGGCCTCAACTCCCTACATGTCCCCTCAGCCTATTACTCTTTGCAAACCAAAAGGGAGATGCTCTTCTCCCTAGAGAAGTAACCCCTCTGCAGTTCCAGATCTGTGCCTCTGCAGTTTGTCTGTCTAGAAGGCCTGTGATAAGTGCATTCTGCTTTATCAGTTCTCTTATCATATGTCATGCTTTGTTACAGCCCTATACACCAATAGCTGTAGAATTCCTAAGAGGTGAACCTGGCATCTTCAACTGATATCCTACACAATATCTATTGCAAAACCTGGCCCAGTGAGGCCACTCAACAAATACCTATGCCCTGAATTTCGAATTACAGATTTATGTCAGTTCAGTTCTATGAATCCTGCCTGGAAGACCCTACCTATTTTCAGTCTCTGTCTCTGTGTCATAACCACCTGCTCAAATCCACCAGGGGAGTGTCTAGCCCTCTTTTGCTCACCTTTTTCTTTCTTTGCAGGAAATTCCTTTGAGAAGGAGCTGCCAGCTGTGAACTTCCTGCTTCTGCCAAGAGCACAGACCTAGAGCTGAGCCTTTGGCCCTCCTGCTGGTCATGGGGAAATGTACCTGCAAGAGTGCTGGCCGGATTGAGAGGGGGTAAGTACTTGATACAGTCATGCTTCCATGCCATGAAAGCCACCATGTGCAAGAGCTTAGCTGGAAAGAGTACACCTGCTATTTCATGTTATCTTTATCCAATGCCTACAGGGGAAACTGAGGTTGGCAGAAGTCAAGGCTGCACAGCCATGGAATTTGGGGGAGGGAGTGAGATATAAGACCACAATCTTCTTCTCCCTCAACTCCAGGTCCTTGCCTGTGTGCTCTGGGTGTCATGACCCAGATCCCCAATAATCTCTGATCAGATCATGAGATTCCAGGGGTACTGACTTTTTTCCTTCAAATCTTATGTATTGTTCAAAATATCTTGACAATAAACATAGTTATGTACTGCATAATGATGTTTTGGTTGACAGCAGACTGCATATATGACAGTGATCCCATAATATTAATATGGAAATGAAATTTTCTTATTACCTAATAAGGCCAAAATCACCATACACAGTAGCACACCACTTTATATGTTTGTGGTGCTGCTGGTGTAAACAAATTTGCTGTGCTGCCAGTTGTACAATTATATACAGTGCCATTATTATAATGGATAATGATAACAAAGGACTATGTTGCTGGTTTATGTATTTACTATATTTCATATCATTATTTTAGAATGTTCTCCTCCTTATAAAAAAGAGTTTACTGTTAAACTGTATGCCACATTATGCCCATAGCAACCTCTTACATCATGTAGTTTCTTGATTTTTTTTTTTTTTTTTGTACTGGGGATTGAACCCACGGGTACTTAATTACTGAGTCACATTCCCAGCCCTTTTTTGTATTTTATTTAGAGATAGGGTCTCACTGAGTTGCTTAGGGCCTCTCTAAGTTGTTGCAGAGAACTTGTAATCCTCCTGCCTCAGCCTCCTGGCTGCTGGGATTACAGGCATGCACCACCACGCCCAGTTTACCATGTTTCTTGAATGCATCATTTTCTCTTAGGTCTAATTTCATGTTGCCTCATCCATCACAACCCTAGGAGTCTATATAATACTACATATTTGTGTGTATATATATATGTGTGTGTGTTTATACATGGCATTATATAATGTGATACATATTATATAACATATATATATATAATTTTATGTATAAACACACACCATATGGTGTAACAGGCTATACCATCTAGGTTTGTGTAAGTACCTTCTATGATGTTTGCCCAATGATGAAATGCCTAATGATGCATTTCTCAAAATATATCCCATCATTAAATAATAAATGGGGGTTGTAAAAGCTCCTTTTGTTTAAAAAAAAATCAAGTTTTAAATGGCAGGAAAAATCATTTCAAGGTGAACTTTATAACATCTGGTCAAGGTCCCAACTGACTTTTTTCCTTCAAATCTTATGACAAAAGCCCTTGGTTGAACAATGGATACCATCACCATTCTCCTCAACAAATCAATATGCAAATACCAAATCCTCCAAACTTCAAAATGTCCAAGTTCCAGCCCTGTAGGATTTGACACAACTTAAGTATAAGTGTTAGACTGGTTGCAAAATGGTCACATTCTTCTCCCTGCCCTTTGAAATGAATTTGTATCCTTCTCCTGTCAAGAGGTGGAATTCTTTTTCCCCATCCCTTGAATCTAGGCTGGCCTTTGGCTTGATCTGGCCAATGGAATAAAGTGAAAGTGGTGGGTGCCAGTTCTAGGAGCCCTGTACCCACACCACCCCTCTCCCTCTGCCACTGTCATTTAAACAACCCCAGCCTGGCTTGTTGGTGAAGAAGACCTAGGGTCCCCAAGACACAGCCAGCCATCTCCAGGGGCAAAGCTGCAGGAGATCACAGTTGCAGGAGAGGACCCAGAAGAGTCCAGAAGACCTCCAAGCTAACCATAGCCTAAATTACAAACCTGAAGAATAAGGAGCTAAATGAATAAGTGTTGCTTTCAGACACTGTGCCGTGTGCACGTTAGTTATGCAGCAGATGTGGCAGTGGATAATTGCAACAATACTGAGGCATGTTATTGTTCCATCTTTGAGCCTGAGCATGGTTACCAGGGGAGACAAGGAGGCCAATGGCACAGTTGCCACCAGGCCCTTTGGCACCTTGGCTTCATAGCTGCTTAAACATATATGAGGTTGCTGATGGGAAAAGGCAGGCATGTTCTGAAAAAGCAAGAGGCTTCTCATCAGTAATCAATAAAGACACAGAATACAGGTGCCTCACACCAACATCCCATACCAAGTTCACAGCACCCTGAGCACCTTGAAGCTCACCTGTTAACAAAGAGGCTGCAGCGACTGTGTGCTGAAGTACTCCAGCGTGGCTCCAGGGAGCTCTGGGTCTCTGTACTTCTGTCTGAAACTAACCAAACAGCCTGGTAGAGAGCATGGGCAGAGGCAAAGGGTCTGGCTTTCTGGAATCAGGCATCCCACATTGTGGGTTATATCACAGTTCATTAGCTGAGGGCCCTTGGTGAAATTACTGAATCTCTGAGTCTGGATTCTCATATAGCAAAAATGAAAATGACAGTCATGGAGACCAGAGGGACTTATGGGGAGGTAGTGTTACAATGGAATATAAAGTCTAATGGTAAAGAACAAAAGAACACCCTGTTTTAGAGACAAAAACTGATAACTTTAATCAAAAACATATAAATAAAGCAAGCAAGCTTAGATTCAGTTGAAAAGTAGAGAACAGAAGAAGATTTGAAGGTTATTTTAAAAGCCATTCTTTTAACATAACTAGAATAGTAACCAAAAAAATCTTCACAAGTTACTTTCCTTTCATTCCAGTTAGAAAGTCATTTTTTAAGTTTATCTTTTTGTTGCTTGTTTTAATAGGTTCTCATCAACTTGGACAGTTAGAGTTCTATTTTAAAAAGTTAACATTGGACATAAATGTTAAATTATAAAACCTTTCCTGTGGACATAGATGAGAACTGAGCTCAAATGCTTCTCTCCCAGGGCTTTATAAAAGAAAGGCATGGCTCAGGTTTTATCTGTTACCACACAGGGATGCCTGGACCACACAGGGCAGGGAACAATAGAAAGAGCACCAGTGACCCATGCAAAAAATGCCCAGGGCATCTCACCCACCTCTGCGAAGATTCAGACACTCCAGGGCCGGTGTCATTGGGCTCTCGCTGCTTGTCCCTTGCAGCCTCTTCCTGAGCAGGTAACTTCGGCTCTGCTGCATGCAGGTGCTTTCTTCCACAACTCTTCTCTCCATCTGAGAGCCAAAGTCATCGCACATCCAAACCCAAGGTCAGGAGACACATAGATACATACAAACTACCTGGTCAAGTTAAGTCAGTAGAATTGTCCTACACTGCAGGAGCCTAACATTACATTCTCCAGCAACCAGAACATGCCCTGACTCACCACCCACAAGCACCCGAGAGGTGAGTCATTCACATTTGTGCCTTTCTCATGCATCTTCCTCTGTGCCTTTAAGACTCAGATCTGTGTCCTCTCCACTTCTAATTCTCTTCACCTCAGCCCCTCTGACCACTATTTCTTTACTTTTCTTTTTTCTTTTTCTTTTTCTTTTTCTTTTTTTTTTTTGGCACCAGGAATTGAACCCAGGGGTGCATAAACACTGAGCAACATCTCCAGCCCTTTTCATATTTTTTTTTGAGACACGGTCTCACTAAGTTGCTTAGGACCTTGCTAAGTTGCTGAGGCTGACTTTAAACTTGCGATCCTCTTATCTCAGCCTCTAGAGCTGCTAGGATTACAGCCATGTACCACCATGTCCAGCTGATGATCTTTCTTTATTGTTCTATTCACATCTCTCTCTGTTACACTACATTACCTTGAGTTTGCCTGCCTGCCTGTTTCCCCTACATTGCTGTGTTATGCACCATTGCAGCTCACCTGGTGCAGTGCATTAATGCTGAATAAGAGATTGAAGTTTATTCTGTGGAAATGTCATAGGTCAATGCAGTGTCTGTCCAAGGACAATGACACACCATTGGAGGATAGACTATACTGTCTTTCAAATGAATAAACCCCTTTCCCCCACAAAATCTTCTAGCCCATAGCAATGTAAGAATGCATTCTTGCATAGGGGAAAATTTGCATGGAGTATTAGACCTTGACAATGATGAGGAAAGTGATCATTATCAGAAAGGAACCGTCTACAGGGCAGGAGGCTGAGGCAGAAGGATCGCAAGTTCAAAGCCAGCCTCAGTAATGTCAAGGCACTAAGCAACTCAGTGAGACTCTGTCTCTAAATAAAATACAAAATAGGGCTGGGAATGTGGCTCAGTAGTGGAGTGCCCCTGAGTTCAATCCCTGGTACAAAAAAAAAAAAAAAAAAAAAAGGAACAGTCTGCTGGCATGGAGAGTGGAGCACAGATTCTAGACAGAGGGTGAACTAGCACAGGTAGAGTCCCAGCATAATGAGGAGTGCCTTCATGGGTTGGAAATGGACAAACAGAGGATGGGGAGCTTTTCATATGTTTCATTGTCACAACTACATCCCTGTTACTTGAGTGAAGAGATGGTGTCTCATGCTGCTTTGTGTGTCACATAACAAGTTTTGAACAAGAGATTTAACATGTTAAGGATGATAGGACACAAATTTTTCTTTGTCAGAAATATGAAAAGGGAAAAATACCTACAAATAACACAGCATTAGTGGAATGTAATTGAAGATTTTAGGGTGAACTCATTTTTAGTATAAAACTAACTAAAAACTCAAAAAGTCTTCTGACATAATTAGCAGAAGCCACATGTTCATATGCAGGAGAAAAGGGGTCCAAGACAAATGAATGACAGTAGAGGGGGCAGAGAGAGAAGAGGGGAGGGGAGGGGGGATAGTAGAGGATAGGAAAGGCAGCAGAACACAACAGACACTAGTATGGCAATATGTAAATCAATGGATGTGTAACTGATGTGATTCTGCAATCTGTATATGGGGTAAAAATGGGAGCTCATAACCCACTTGAATCAAAGGGTGAAATATGATATATCAAGAACTATGTAATGTTTTGAATAACCAACAATAAAAAATTAAAAAAAAAAGAAATAAGGGTAGTGAAAGTGGGTATCCAATTCACGTTCCTGACCTCAATCTCCATGAAAATGGGCATGCTTCCATAATTTCTCCATTAAGCATTTGGCAAGATTTCAGGGAGCCAAGTAGATTTCAGAGTGTAAAACAGTGGCAAGACATTTCCTCTACCATTATTTCACTGAAAGCTTTTTATTAAAAAATGTATGTTGACCTTATCAAATATACTGTAGGCAAGAATTATTCTAATAATATGCTTGTCTCCTTTTGACCAATTAAAACTCTGATTCGGTGGAATAAATTGTCCAACAGGAAAAAAAAAAAAAAAAAAGAAAAGGGGTCCAAGAAGGATGCTAGGATGGAAGAGGCTTTTACTGACTGACTTGACTGTGCCCTATTCAGCTGCCCCTTCATCTCCCTACATTAACCTATATGAACAACATGACCCTTACATTAACCTTGGTCTGGGCTCCAACTTGTCCCTGGACAAGTGCAGCTGCCCAGCTGGTCTCTAGCTTAGCCTTCCCGAACTTCATCTATCGTGAAAACTTCCTTACAAATCCAGGCATGGTGATGCACACTACTGATCCCAGCTACTCAGGAGGCCACGGTTAGAGAAATGAGCTCAAGGCCAACCTGGGGCAAGGTGGTGAGGGCTCATCTGGAAGAAAGAAAAAGGAAGGAAAGATAGAAGAAAGAAAGGAACCCAGCCATCCTTGTTACACTTTGTACCATGAGTACATCACTTGCTCCATCCTGCTTGATCTCTACCCTGGCTTCAAGGAGAACCAACTTCTAGGTGCCATTCCTGCCCTGGAGCTCCCCAGGGGGACAGGTGGATGCTATCTTCAGCTGAGTCCACTTCCTTGTTCACCTTGTGCCAATCCCACTGACTTCCCATCACTACCCTCTCCTAGGAACATTTTCCCAATAAATAACTTGCACAGAAATCCCAGTCTCTGGATTAGCTTGAAGGGAATAAGCCAGATACTGCCATGTGCCAGGCCCCTAGCTGGACACTGGGGATGGACAAGGCATCAAGCAGCACAGTCAGACAAGGGTAGCAAAGGGGCTTCCCCAGGAATAAGATCACAGAGGGAGGGTGTGGTCAAGGTCAGATGAGGCTGAGTTGTATTTTAATAAGAGACCTGAATCACAGGTCATAAGCATGATTGTTTTATGCAAAGAGGCACTTAAAAGATTTCAAGGGCCTCAGTCATGTTAGGAATTAGGGCCTGCCTGAGGGTTTCATCAGAACCACCCAATAGAATTGCAATGACCAATGATGAAAATGTTCTAGATCTGCCCTGTCCAATAGGGTAATCACCAGCTACATGTGGCAACTGAGCACTTGACATATAGCAAGTGTGACTGAAGAACTTTTTTCTTTTTTTTTTTTTTGCAATTCTAGGGATTAAACCAAGAGCTTTCACATATTAGGCAAGCACTCTGCCACTAGCCACATACCCAGACCCTTGAATCTTTAATTTTGTTTCATTTTAATTAATTATAATTTAACTAATTTAAATTTCAACCACCACACATGGCTAGTGGCTACCAGGTTGAAAATGTCAGGTCTATACTGACCTCAGAGATGGTTCCCAGAACCAGGCCCACCAGTCGTCTGATGTGGAGACGGGCAGGGGCTGGGCACACAGCCACTTCTTCCTGATGGACTCGACAAGCTTCCAGAACTGACTGTAGTGGCCGCCGCCTGCTGGGCTGGTCTTCACACATGGTCAGAAGGATGGAGTGCAAGGGCTCATGGAGCTGCAAGGGCTGCAGAGCATACAGGGTAGTGAGAAGCATAGCACAGCTAGAGCAGCTGCTGCTGAGCAATACTGTGTCAGGTGTGCCCAGGGGACTAATGGAAAAGGATGCCTTCATTACCACCAGAGCAGGTGCCTGCTCCTTCTGAGAGCTTAGGTGAACACGAGATTCTTCACCGAGGCCACATGATGCAGAGTAGTTATCTCTGCCTCCATTGTGCAAAGTGTGCTGCTCTTTAATCTCAGATATGCTTCAGCCTGACATGTGCTTAGAATACTGGTGAAAAACAGGTGCTGGACATGATGGAGTTACACCTGTGCCAAGCACCCTGGATCAGACCAGAGATCAGTCTTTCACTCATGGTCACCTGGGCAGCCTGACTAATTATTCAGGTAAGACTCAAGTCCTTTCCCCTAGATCTTGAACTCCAGGAGCCTATAAACATTGGAGTCACAGGCAGCAGCACATGTGCTCAGTCATTGTTGGTTGAACTTTATGCCACAGGCACATGTCAAGCAAAAGAAAAGCTAAGTCTCTTATAACCACTTCCATCATGCATTGAAGTGACCACCATTTATATGAGGAAGGCCTCAAATTCAGATTCAATCTCTGACTGTTAGGGGGTATCGCTCAGTGGCAGAATATTTCCTAACCTATATGAAACCCTAGGTTCCATTCACAGCACTGCAAATCATCATCATCATCATCATTATCATCATCATCATCATCATCATCATCATCATGAATAACAACATCATTTGACTGCTTCTCCCACTCCAACCACACTGAAAGTCATTTGGCAGAAAGGATGCAATGCCATGTCAGGAAGGGAGCATCCTCTGAGGTGCCATCTTCAAGGGAAGCCAGGCTACCAAGTTTTATACTCACACAGCAAATTGGAGGTCTCTGTGTGTCTGAAACTGGACAGTATTCGAGATGGTCCCTACTTTCAAGATCAAATTCCAATAAGAAAAATCATTACTTAAAGAGATGAGGGCAGCACAGAATAATAAAAGCTTGGCCTGGGGAAGAACAGAACTGTGATAACACAGAGACAGGGACCTGACCCAGACTGATACCAGAGTGTCCACAGGGATTCATTACAAGGAAAGTGGGGAGTGAGCTGTGAACAGAAGGAGCAGTGTGGGCATGGGCACAGAGGTGCCCACTGTCTGAAAGCAAGGGGCCATGGGCAGCATCAGGGCCTGTGGCAAAATGACAATGTGGGACCTCTTGATCCAAATTATTAAGACTTTCAAGATGGTGATAGCACAGCATTAAATCTAGCACAGCACCACATTCATACACCCATGGAGCTAATCCTGAGGAGTGAGGAGAACCAGAGAAGAATTGTTCAGGTAGAAGCCCAGTTCTGGCCTCCATGTGGGTCCTGCTGAGAGGCTAGATGTAATCTTTGGGTATCCTGGAGATACCAAATATTTCATGAAAGAAGGGTTGTGAAGAGGTCTCTGTTTACAAAAGAGCACCAGGAATCACTAGGATTGGGGATTGGAGAGGGCAAGGGTGGGAGGGAGGGAGGAAGGAAGGAAGAAAGGAAGTAAAGCAGGAAGAAAGGAGAATTGGAGGAAGGAAGGGAAGGGAAAAGAAGTAAAGGAGGGAGGGAAGGAAAAAGGAAAGGAAACAGGGGTGGTATCATCCATACAGGTTCTCCAGCACATGCTCTTGTAGCACTAGTTTCTAAGGAATTCTTACAGTGTCAGGTGAAAATTTACAAAAACACAACTATTATAAAATGCCACCTTAAACAAAGTTTGTAAGGCTCTATGCTTTAAGCCTTCTCATAGTCTTTAATAAACTACTCTGAAAAAAAATCTTTGAGAGACGTTGCAGGAAGCATTTTCCACATTTGATGAGCAGGGAACCTTTTTGCAGGAAAGCATCTCACTTCAGGAAGGGCTTTTAGTACATAACTAAATGAATAAATATATAACTGTATCTTCAGTGTCTGTAAAATCCTCTAGTTTATGTCTTCCTCTGAGTGGAGACAGCAAATAAATCTCATCTTCTCCACCAGTCCAAACTTGTATCTGACTCAAGTGTATCTGAGGTTATTTCTGGACTTTCTAGCAAGAAGGAGATGCAGTGTGATCAATTGGCAATGCCTGCCTGGGACATAGGAGGAAAGAGTGACAGCACCCATGCTCAACAGCTGTGGACCCTGCCCAGGAACACCACCAAATTAATCCAAAGACATGACCTGGAAAGACTTGGGGCATTGTTATATACACACCTGGTTTGGTGGGACATGAAACCCTGCTGTCCAGTAGAGAGTCATTCCTAAAGAATAGACATGCATCTGCCCAAAAGAAAAGCATGTGATTAGTTTTCAATCATCTCTGCTATTCTAAGGTCCTGCAAGCCAAATACAATTTTATTTTTGCAAATACACATGCTGTGTTCTAGCTGGCCCAATACCATCTGTACTTCCTTTTCTGCTTCCTACACTAGAGGCTATCAAGCCAGAATTTTGCTTTCTAGCAATAACTACAACACCAAATTTTGGCAAAAGATGTAAGGGAAGTATATTAAGGGGCTTCCAAAAAGATTGGGTTTTTTTTGCTGTTTTACTAACAAGTATATATGACTGGTTCCACACTTTCTACCTTGTTTCTGCCTTGAACACTGATGTGATACATGGAATCATAGCAACCATCTTGTGACTATGAGGAAACAGGCATAAGAACAAAAAGCCAGCAGATTAGGGTAAAATGGAAATATACAGACTGAATCCTTGATGGCATGACTGAGTTGTTGACCAGTCCCTAGACTTGTTAAGTAACTAATAAGTATATCTGTGGCTCTAGCCATTATATTTTAAGCTGTTTCTTATAGCCAAACCTATCCAAACATGACATATTATACACCATGCTGATTAAAACGCACCATATCTTGTCAAAAAGAAACATTGTATATTGGAAAGAACATTTTCTGATTTCTCAGAGCCTATTTTTTATCTGTAAATCAAATATTCTGCCTCAATACTCATGAGGATCAAGTAACAAGTTCTTGGAGACAATAACAATAATTGCCATTCTCATTATTGTTTTTATTGAACACGGAGCATTCACAGTATAGCAAGCCCTATTAAATATTTCATTTATATAATTTTTTTTATTCCTCACAACAATGCTTTGAGGTAGGTATTTAATTGTCCCCATTTTACAGAGGAGAAAACTAAAGCAAAGGCAAGCTAGTAAATTTGCCCAAATAAGACTCAAACCTGGACTTGAAGCCAGGTACCAGAGCTCCTGCCCTGAGCCACCATAGAGCTGTCACCTCCGAATCATAGTAGTCCTGAATGACTTCATTTTTATAGTGGGGCTTCTATTATAATTGACAAGGCCATTTGCCCCTTTTCTTTTCTTTTTTATTTTATTTTATTTATTTATTTTTTTTTTTTGTCTATGGAATCAGTTTATCCTGGGTAACAAATCAAAAACAAGTACTTATTTCTTTTTTTTTTTTTATTATTAGTTGTTCAAAACATTACATAGCTCTTGACATATCATATTTCATACATTTGATCTTTTCTAAGGAAAAGGTTTAGGGGCCTTTGGAGAAGGGACATTGAAGGACACGAAACACGGCATGTGAAAACACAGTTGCTTAAGCAGCCCACTGGTCTAACAGTGGTTTTGGTTTTCCACATGACAAGGTCAAGATGTGTGTTCCATGTCATCTGGGCTGATTAGCTCTTGTCTTTGAAACTGAACCGTTAACCCAGCCACCAGCCCTGGGATGAATGAGACGAGATAACATTCAGGGAAGTTCACAAGTTATACTCATTCCCAGGGAAATAACCGTAAAAGCAGACATGGGAATAGCACCCTGAGCACAGCCAGAGGCCCTGATCAAACCTGGGAACTTTCCTGGATTCCAAGGGCTCTGTCCTGAAGTGCCCTAGGGCCAAGCCAGGCCACAGTGAAAACAGGGTACATCCCAAATATTAAATCCAGCCCACTGGTAGGCGCTGACTGCAGAAAGGCAGCGAGACAGATTTTGAAAACAACTCCTGACTCAGTGGGAAAGAACACCATGACTGACTGGTAACATCTGCCATGCACACAGGAGGCGTAATGACAGCAAAGGTGATTTGTAGTTAGACACTTGCCCACATCTTCCACCTATACCTGAGTTAAGACTCCAAGCAGTGAGGGAAATAGCTCAGTGTACTGGTCAGAGAGGGATATTAGTCAAAGAGAGGAGTCCCTGTACATTGTCCTAACCTTAGAGCAGGACCCAGGATAGGAAGAGGATTTCAGGCACAGCCATTCCTGGGGACACTCTCCTGAATGTCCATCCCACCCTTCACAGACCTGTGCAAGTTGGATAAAGAGAGAGCTGAGTGATGCATGTGGGATAGTGGGTATCAGAACTGAGCTTTAGGGATCGTATAAGAGATCAACGACCAGGTAACGCTGCCTCTTGGCCTAAGTAACAGTGCTTGAGTCTTCTGGTCCTTTAAGGCATACACCATGTGTCATGCTTAGAGGTCAAGCAACCAACCAAAATAGCTGTCTGGCTCCTTCAGAACTTAGTCCTTCCCCACACTGGCCCTTGTCCAGTTCAACTGGCCCTTCTCTGCCTGACCCAGACTCTGAGTCACATATACATACCTAGTTCTGAGCTTGCTCTATTCGTTTAGCCTAGGGGCTCATGGAGGAAATTGTGCAGGAGGGACAGCATGTGTTTCTCTAGTTCAAGGGCAGAGGAGTGACTAGACCTTCCCAAGACACTCAGTGGAGGCCAAACTGAAGTTGGGAAGGCAGTACCTGTGCTTCACCTGAGAGGGACAGGGAAGCACCCCGGGAGCAGTCAAAAACTGTTTTAACTCAGGTCCTTTAGAAAGCAGGGCACTGACACTTCATACTGAAGCTGTCATCCCAGGGCAATGAGAGTGAGAGAAAAAAGGAGAAGGGAAGCAAGGGCAGATGCAGCTTTACCATGCTGACCACAGAGCCAGCAGGAAGTTCCTGAGAGAAACAGCATTTCCAGATATGCATTTTTCCCATGAAAGAATAGCAGGAAGTGCTACAGACTTGGCTTCCTGGATCTCAGGACTTCTCTGGAAGTTGTGCCTGGCTCCTGGACATTTCAGACTGCCTGGCACTTCTCTTTACCGGTGGCTCAGAAAGCCAGATCCCAGGACTGAGCATGTCATATCTTAGCAAGTCCATAGCATAGGAGAAGAACTGGCATGTGTGGATCCTGGACCAAGCAGAAGAAATCTGAGTGGCAACAAGTTTGTGTCTGACCCAGGTATCTAGTGATTCACCCCTGGGATGCTAGCAGTTCAGGGAAAGGTATATGTGCCAGAAGTACAGGGACAACTGCTGATGGGGTGACAGAGCCAGGGTTATTACAATGGTGATGTTTTCACTGCAGTAATATGAATAGGAGACACATGGACTCTGACACACCAAACCTGGAAGCCACTGAGGCCACATTCTCTTCTTCTTGGAGCCCAAAAGAAAAGCATCTCCAGTTCCAGCATGGCTCCTGAGAGGAGCACCATTTCTAGATCTGCACATTTCCCATGAAAGAACATGGAAGAAAGAATAGAAGTGGTACCTTAAACACCTACTATGCCCTGCCCAGTGCTGTGTGTCTGCCTTATATCATTCTCACTTTGATTTTCTTTTTTTTTTTAATTGAAACTACTGTCTACTGGAAATTTTTGCAGTTCAGAAGGAAAACATGTTCCCTGTTGGAAAGCCAAAAATCTCCATTGATATTGCCATCCAGAAATAATCCCTTCAGACAACTTGGTGGTGCATGTGTTTTAGAACTTCCTCTCTCTCTCTTTTTTTTCTCTCTGCAAACTTGGATCACATTGTGTATGCATATATCAATGCATATATTGAATTTATTTCCAAGTCATTGAATACACTTCTACAGCAGTCTCATTTTAATGCTTATTCTCATATCCGCTCTCAACTGATCATTCATCTTGTTTCCAACTTTTAACTGATGTCAACAACACAATGCTGAATATTGCTACAGCTGAATCTATCTTTACTTATGCCTGAGGATTCCTAGTTGGGGACTTGGGTCATTTATTTTTCTGTTCTTTCTTCATGCTGCCAGTGGTAACAACAGACAGACCTTTTACTCCTATCTTTTGGGGTACTTCGTTTTGAATGTTGATAATAGCCAGATCGTCTAAGTCATATTACTCCACTATACAGATATAGAAACTTGAGCTCTACAAATTTGACTTGCCCCTACCCAAGAGCTGGCAAAAAAAAAAAAAAAAAAAAAAAAAAAAAACTGAGAACAACATTCTTTAAATCTACTTGTGTTAGTTAGCTTTTTGTCACTGGGACAAAAATACTTGGCAAGGACACTTAAAAGAGGAAACGTTTATTTTGTCTCACAGTTTTAGAGGTTCAGTCGGTGGTGGGCCAGCTCCATTGCTCAGGACCCAAAGTGAGGCAGTACATCATAGAGGAAGGGCATGGTGGAGGGGTGATGCTGTGTTGATGGCAGCCAGAAAGTAGAGCAAGGAAAGAAAGGGGCCACAGAGAAGATGCATCCTTCCAGGGCACATCCCCAGTGACCCACCTCCTCCAGATATGCCCACCCGCCTACAGTGACCACCCAGTTAGTCCCTAGGATGGATTGATGAGGTCTCATCCCTCATAATCGAATAATTTCACCTCTGAATATTCCTGCATTAACAGAGGCATCTTTGGGAACAGCTAATATCCAAACCATTAATACCCACTCTGCCTCAAGGTAGAATCAGGCGCCTCAGGATGAACTGGGAACAGGGAGTACTGCCCAGTAACAGGCCTTTCCCAGGGGACAGGAGACAGGTACTATAGAGAGGCCACACATCTTACCTGTGACATATCAAGCAGCTCATCCTCACCTTGCCCCTGTAGCAACTCAGGGGCCTTGAAAGGAGCAGCTTCTATGTGAGAAACACGGTCTTGGAAAGAAAGACTTCCAGTTGCAGAAAGCAGGGCTGACCAGGGGCAGACCACATAATCCGAGGAATCTGAAAGCAAGTCAGCGATAGGGGTATAGAGAAAGGGCCACCATCTGGAGAGCCAGCTGTGGGACTGTGTCTGGTAGGTGCCTAGAAGTAACTGTCTCTAGGGTAGACCATGAGCAAGACCCCAGGGAGACACAGAACTGAATTAATTCAATTCTTCTGAAAGGGAGCATCGATTACAAAAGATGGCTATAACCATGGCCAGGAATTGAGCACCTGCAACCAAATTCGTCAGTGGACTGAGAGTTTCAAAGCAAAAGATAAAAAAAGGTCAAGTCCTACTGGAAATTGGCACAAGCCTGAATTCTCTGCAGCCAGACCAGAACCCAAGGCAGCTGGTCTTCTGGGAGCTCTGAATCTGTTTGTCAAAACCTCTAGGGCAGGGAAGAGACAGTGAGGCCTCATGAAGAAGATGAATCCAAAGGCACAAGTTAACAGCCTCCATCTACCTGCCCAGACTGGAACAGTCTCTGGCATGGAGCATGTGCAGTAACATGGGCTGACAGCCTCTGCTGCATGCACTGCAGCTGCCAAGCATGTGGGACTGATGAACTGACAGCAGAGTATGGGCTCTCAGTGTTTGTTTCAGTTACCAATTTAATGCCTCGCAACTCCAAATTCATTCTTCTATACACAAATTCTTCCCTTACACAAATCTCCTAATATTTAGAGCACCATGACAACCTTCTCAGTAGAGGAGACAGGAGAGTCATCACAGGACACTAGTGCTCTCCTTCTGTTGGCTATGGTCAGCAGTGGTATGGGCATGTGACCACCAGATGATGGCACAGTCCTGGACTCAGGCCCAGGACAACAAGGTCCCTTGGTCACTCTCAAGGCCTAACCTTGCCACATGATCCCCTTCTCTTTAACTTATCTATACAAATGGTGCAGGCTCATTCTCTCCTGCCCACAAGGGATTCCTGCTTACCTGAGCCTGCCATCACCCCAACCTTCTACTCCCTCGGCCACAATTGGCAATTGCCTGTTCCCCACCTGAGCCATGACTACAGACCAATCCAAACTAAGCAAGCCAGTGAACTTCATCATCATGATCTGCAAGCACAGCTCCCCCAGCAGGTCCAAAACCCAACCTGGGGACAGAACTTACCTTCAAAGTCTGTTCCTCACTGGATACCTATCTCAGTCTGAGGGCACCATGAATAATTTTCTTCTTTCAGTTACTCTTATATATCTTTCAGTAACTCTTAATAACCTCCCCTATTTAGACCACAGTGCGTGTTCTGTCTTCCGGAAGGACACAGGACTATTACACCATCTGACAGAGTATAGGGGTATCCAGAGTGACTATCCTCCGCTTCCCATCTCTAGTTGTGCCCAAATAACCCAAGAGATGGAAGAGGGCCAGCTTTTTCACCACTGTGACCAAAAGTCCTAACAAAAACAACATATAATAGGAAAAGTTTATTTGGGGCTCACAGTTTCAGAGGCATCAGTCCATAAATGGCCAACTCCATTGCTCTGGGCCCGAGATAAAGCAAAACATCATGTCGTAAAGGTGAGAAGGAGGAAAGCAGCTCAGGACTTGAGAATCAGGAAGCAGAGAGAGAACTCTGCTCACCAAGAACAAACTACATGCCCCAAAGGCCCATCCCCAATGACCCACCTCCTCCACCCACTCCCTACCTGCCTCAGTTAATCCTTATTAGTGGATTAATGTACCTCTAAACTTTCTTGCATTGTCTCACACATGAGCTTTTGGGGGGACACCTCATGTCTAAACCATAAGAGGCCTACATTGCTCCAGCCAGCACCTCCCTAAGCACTATGCAAGTACCAAGGCAGAAGCAAGGCCTTCTGACTCTGCCACATGGCATGGGTCTCCCAACGTAGCTGTGTGGAAGGTGCCATTTGCCTACTCATTTTAATACTTCAAACTAATAATTAATTGAGAAGCAGCAGCCAAAAATATGCTTGTATGGGAAGCTTCACTTTCAGTTCCCTGTGGCTTCACTGCCCCAAACTCTTACCATTGTGAAGGTCTTCCAGGAGCCGCTCAGCAGCCAGTGACAAGAGGGACCAGAGTTCTTCCTCAGACAGAGCTTCGCCCCTGACCTGCAGGGCACTGGCCAGTGTCACAGAAGCCAGGCTCATGCCTGCAAAGACACACATGTGGTAGAGACCCAGCAATGTCCACGAGCACATCTGGGCCAGCACTTGTGACTCCAGCCCCTCTGAAGTACATGGATGCCATATTTTCATCACCTGCATCCCCAGGGCAGGGTACAAGGCCAAGGCTACTTGAGAAGTGAAAGGAATGTTCACTGAGGGGCTGGCCCAGATGCTGGTGGTGAATGAGTGAATAGACAAATCAACTTCTAAGCAAAAGGTTAAGTAAATGAATGAATGAATGAACAAGTGAACCATGACAGGAACCCCTCCTCAGGGAGAGCTCCCTATGCAGGAGAGGAGTGTGGGGGCCTGTGGGGGCATTCATTGTCTACTCTCCTTCTCTGTCTGAGAAAGTAGGTTAACAACCATTTTTGCCTCCAACACATGATTCATGTCTTTCATCTCTAGCTGCCACATGCAGAGTTGGATTTGGTCCCAGCACCAGCCCTTTTGCCAGCACCTGCCTGAAGAGCAGGCAAGAATCCCTAGAAGGAAGACCGAGCTCCATGTTTCAGGAAGGGCAGACATGCAGAGACACTGCAGGAGCAGGCAGGAGGGCTGGGCTTCTATTCCCTCTCTTCTGAGAAGCATTCCTTTAAACCAAAGTTGACATTTCAGTGTCTATCCCTGCCCCCACCCCATGCACAAAGCCACCCCCTACTAATCTCCAGAGCCAGTGACAGCAGGAAGAGGCCAGGCAGGCTTTTCCTAATCTATTCACGTCACAGAGCTTTTTCTACAACCAGAGCTTAGGGAGGAAGGGGGGGTGTGCTGGGCTGGGGCCAGGGGAGCCCAGCACAGCACCCCCCTCCATCTCTCCATGGGCACTAAGCCAAGCTGTCCACTCACCAGCTGCTCAGCTTATCTGAGAAGAGAGACAGTTTTCTAGAGAACAAGCCCAGCTCTTATATCTCTACCTGGGGGCAGGAAAGGAGCTGCCTTGTCCTTAAGAAGACCTACTTGGAAGCTGTTATTTATGAGAAAGTGTCTGTGAAGGGGCGGCTGTTGCTTCCATTTACAGGCAGTCCAAGTAACCAGGTAAACATTCACTGTGGGGAACTTGCCAGTCACCCTGATTTGGTTTCTGCACACTGTATCCGTACATGGAAATCCCACTGTGCCCCATAAATATGTACAATTACTATGTATAATTTAAATTTTTTCTCAGGTGATGGATTCAAAGCTCAAGTCCAGGCCCTCTGTTTCCTTCTCTCTTCTTTTCCTTTCCTCCTCCTTTTTCACAAACTTGCTTGTGACTTATGGACTAAGCATCACATTTGGCCATATTTTTCTAACTTTCTACCATGACAATGAAATGCTACTCATTAAAGATAAAAAAGAAACAGGAGAAGACTGATTCTCAGACAGAAAATCTCTGAATCCCAATCTAAAATAGGGAAGCAGGCAGGCATCAAGGGGAGGGGGGGAGGAGTTCCAATCACATTAAGATAAGAAGGAAAAGAATGCATTGAACAGCTTCTAGGCTGGCATGGCTAGCTGAGACCATCATTTCAAAGTAGTCATTCAGTGGAGGAAGGATGGCCTTTTCAAGAAATAGTGTTGGGTCCACTGTGAAGAATATTGAACATTGGCCTAAACCTCACACTACAAAAAAAAAAAAGAAAAGAAAACTGTTAGATCAAAATGGGTCATAGATTTAATATTGAACATAAAACCATAAACTTTAAGAAACAAATGGGAGAAAATATTCAGAACCTAAAACTAGGCAGAAGGTTTTTATTTGACACCCAAAGCACAATCTATATAAAGATATCCAATTCATAAATTGGACCTCATCAAAATTCAGTTTTTGCTCTGAGAAATACCCAGTACAGGGATTTAAAAAAAAAAAAAAACTATGGGCTAGGAGAAAATATTTGAAAATCACCAATCTGAAAAAGTACACATACTTAAATTTTTTAAAAACTTTTAAAACTCAATAAGAAAATAGCAATTCAATTAGAAAATGATATGCGAATGACAAATTTGGGCCATGAATATATATTAAACATTATCAGACATTAGGGACATGCAAATTAAAACCACAATGACATGATACTAAAACCTATCAGAAGTACTAAAATCAAAATTTCTAACAACCCCACATGCTGATAAACATATGTAGAAGTACTCACAAATTGCTGGTGAGAATGTGAAATGGTCCAGCTACTCTGAAAATCAGTTTGGCAGTATCTTATAAAATTATATATGCTAGTACTATATAATTCAGCAGTAGTATCCATGCATTTATACCAAAGAAATAGAAATTTATGTTCACACAAATATCTATCCATGAGTTGGCTTAGCCAGTCGCCTTGGAAAACGAAGTATTAACTACTAAACTTGAACATGCATGTTAAACATACACACACAAACACAAGTAAAGTACTACCCTAAGTGTGCATGCTCTTTTCCAGGACTCTCAGGCTAGGGAGTTGCAGTGGCCTACGTGGCCATGGACACATGATACTGTGTGTGCACACGCACACACATGTATATGTGAAGTGTCTTAGTTTGCTGTGTCTGCTGCTTCAATAGATAAATCTGTGTAGCATACACTAATATTACCTCTTGAATAACCACAGTAGAGCAGAAGAATAAGACTTTGTCTATCATAAATTTATGTACAATCTTTTAAAATAAAACAAGTGAAAATGAGGACTTACAGATATTGAACATAATATGATCAACAATTTCAATGCATATAAAAATGAAAAGGAGGGGCAATGTATATCTGTGTGTGTGTGTGTGTGTGTGTATTCACAGTTTACTACAATCCAAGTAGAGGCAAATGAAAAACATATATTTTGTAAAGAGGGCTGAAATAGTGCTTAACATAAAACAAGTAGTAGCTTTTATAATTATTATAATTATTATGTGTACTAACCCAGTATTCATAGATAATTAATATACTATACTAGAATATTACTAAGGTTATTATAGATCATTTTTGGATCCTAAAAACTTTAGTTTCAACAAACCAACATGTTGGATTTTTCTTATATACTAGCCAGCCAACAAGGATTGGTTGAATGAGATTTCTGCCTTTATTTTTTTAATTTTAGAACATATATACACAAAAATATGCTTAGCACCCTGCTCAAAAAAAATTTTAGGGCTGAGGATATAGCTCAGTTGGTAGAATGCACAGAAAGAAAGAAAGAAAGAAAGAAAGAAATTTAACTGCATTGTAGATTTGGCCTCTGCTATGGTTTGAATATGATTTGTTTCTGCTGAAACTTACATTGAAATTTGGTTGTCAATGCAGCAGTGTTGGGATATGGAGGCTTTAAGAGGGATTAATGTCTTTATTACAAGACTGGGTTAGTTCTTGTGGGAATGGATCACTTTTCAAAAGAGTGGATTATTGTAAAGTGGGTCAGCTCCTCTGTCCTCTTCCTCTTGTCCATATTTATCCATTTGCCTTTCTGTTTTCTTCCATGAGGCCAAGAGCCAAGCAAATGCCACAAACATGCTCTTGGACCTCCAAAATCGCAAGCTAAAATAATCCTTTTTTATTTCAAATTATCCAATTTCAGGAATTCTGGTATATCTGTGGACAGTGGACTAAGACAATCTTAAAATTCAAACATTGTACCTGTCACAAAAAGGACATAGCCCCACCAAAGGGACATATTGAATTGCATCAAAAACACCAATGCAAAATCCAAATCAGAGAAAATTTTCAAGTCAAACAAGCGGGTTGCTCAGAAAAAAAAAAAAAAAAGAAAATTTTAAGAAAAAGAGGACAAATTATATATTGGCAAGACATAATAATTATAACTATATATGCCCCAAACAATGGAGCATCTATATACATCAAACAAACCTCAATTTCAAGAGTCAAATAAACCACAATACAATAATACTGGATGACTTTAACACACGTCTCTCACTACTGGACAGATCTCCCAAACAAAAACTAAATAAGGAATGAGAGAAGATGGCGGCGAGGGGAGTGCATTGCCCCCGTGTGCCGCGTCACTGTGTGGGAGTATGACGAGTCAGGACTGCTAAAGGCTATCTTGTTAGGAATTTCCAGCAATAGTGGGGTGCTCCGGAACCTGGAGGAAGGATTTCCATCGCACGAGGATCGGCTACGGGGACTCAAACGCGAGGGATTTGTTGCACGGAGGGTAACACTGCTTATTCAGCAAATCGCCCCGCGGCTAGAGTCTGCAGAGCGCGCTGGGAAACGAAGAGACAGCGGCGCAGGGATACAGCGCTGCAGTTTCTGCCAGCCATGCAAGCGCCGTACTCAGTGCTGAATTCTGGGTTCGAGACTGGGGAAGGAAGCGGTCCATCTCGGTTCTCCACACCGGTCAGACCACAGAGGAGGCCAGCGGCCACCATATTGGAGAGCTGACGTCACCATCCCTGTTTTCGACTGACCGCAGCTCATTCAGCCATAGAACAGGTAATTTCAGGCTGCCATTCGCCTGCGGCTTGAAGACAGATTACTCAGGCTCAGTGCCTGAGTGCTTCTTGGAGCCTGCTCTTATCAGAGAATACACCGAGAACGGAGCGGCCCTGGCCCAGGGCGAAGGAGCCCACGGAAACTGCTGCTTGGAGCCTGCTCTTATCAGAGCATACACCGAGCACGGAGCGGCCGAGTTCCGGCTCCCGGAGCTGCCCTGGCCCAGGGCTAAGGAGCCCGCGGAAACTGCTTCTTGGTCCGGGTCCTGCTGAGGACCGGTCAGGAATCACCCGTTGCTTTGGTTACCTGGCAAAGGGAACGAAATGCTGCCATTCGCATAGGATACCAACATGGCAGAGATCTGATGTCATCAGAAAGCGGCGGAGGAGAGAACTTCATCAATACCAGCGGCGACAGAAACAGTTGGTCTCCTGGTAGGGAGGGTGAGGCACAGACACCCGAGTCTCTCTCAATTTGTCGTCGAGCCAGAGGGGAGGAGCCAGGCCGCCTCCCGCGCCCGGAGCAGGCCCAGCGGCTCTCCGGCGTGGTGGTCGCGGGACCCCAATGGGAGAGGGGGCGGAGC